GAGGTCTGCTGTCCCTTCTCCCGTTGCACGTCGAAAGGAGGGATGGAGAAAACTTGCTTGGCGGCGCAATGATCTGTAACGGTGGTGAGAAACCATACGAAGCAGCGGCGGCTAGGGTAGACGTCTGCCTGACTATATAGTGCGGGCCGGATAGGTCGTGGGAGTAAACCCCACGTCCGAGTCGCCACGATCCAAAAAAATCGAAAACGGTTCAGTAATTAACGCGTCCATTAATTATTAATTAATGACTCATTAATTTTTCCCGAGCAGCAAAAATATAGACAACGTCCTCGGCTCGGCTCAATCCCGCAACCCGCGGCGCGGCGCGGCACGACGAGGCGTGGCGAGCGAGGAGGAGGAGCGCGCGTGTAGGTATCCTCTTCTCATGCTCATACAAGTGGTAGAAGAGCTCACCTTATAAAGAGGTGCAACTCTCTCTCAACTTCCGGGGTGGGACTAAACTTTAGTCTCACTCACTCCACTCACATGTGTGCATAAATGAGTGAAGAGAATTTCAGAATTTTAATTGAGCTTTGGGCCAAAGGCCTACTAGCAAAATTCCAACAGACACTACTCTAATTTGTAGTAACCTCTACGAACCGAGCGTTCCAAAGTTATGCTATATCAGTCAATCCTTTTATTTCCTTGTCATGGCTAATCAATCAAGAAGATATAGAATGCATAAATCATTGTCCATTTCTAGAGAGTTCAAATTGAGCTTTGGTGGCGGACAACAGAAAGAACAAACAAAATTATATTTGTCCTACTAAGTTCGTTGTGAACTTTTACTGAAATAAGGTATACATATGAAATAAGAAAGAACCTACTTAGGTGCAATTATCTCAAAAAGATCGAAACCAATGTAATATATATATTCGCATTCAGAAATTAATCTTCCATGACACTAATCAATCTTTGGATGGCAATTTTCTTCATAACACCAATCGGTACTCCCACCATTATTTACTCTTCGCTCACTCCTGCTTCATATTCCCTCGTCCAGAATCCAGCACCTCCGTCTGAGCCTCTTGTGTATACATGTGCAAGATCGTCACGTATATACCATGATGCACATCACCGTTTGCAATGGAAGAAAGCTAAAGAGGTTAATTAAAATAACATCTTGGGAACAAATTCTATGGAGACAAGTCCATAGGTAGTGGTACTCTAGCCAGGAACCAATATTTTTTGATCTCCAATGTAGTCCTTTCATGCTTGTTATCTGGATGTCATGTGATGAAAAATAGCCATGCACCGATCATACATGTTCTATCTGTTTGAGAATGCAACAAAGGTATGTACGCACATGCAAGGGCTAGTACTTACATGAGAGCAATTTGAGAGAATCGATCAACACCTGCCTCAGTTGCTAGTTTCTGATGTCGTTGGGTAGGTTGCAGTGCGAACCAGGCTAGCGGTACTTCCAGCCCTGTGACGTCTTCGTTTCAGTTTTATCAATCCCTCAATTGGCGCCCATACCAAGAGAGAAGGGTGGGATGGTGCGATCGTAGAACATGACAAATTTTACTATGTAGTACATGCAGAGCAATTAGGTGGTCTGTTGTTTTTACCTGCTCCTGTATTTAGTACGTGAACATGAAAGGCTAGGTTAAGTGTTGTCAGCATGAATTAACATAAAAAACTGGCGCTTAAAAGGATGTACCACTCAAGAATACAGAAACAATTTTGAAGTACAAACATAGTGGCCTATTTCCAAAGCATATGTGCCAGCAAACAGACCTGGACTTCAGCACATCGATCAACTGGCCATAGCCAACCAATTGTAGGAGGTCCAGGAGCTGCAGTATAATGAGGCCCATACGTGCTGATGTGAGAAGGATCCTAAAGCAGTTCCATATTTGCTGAAGAAGAAGCAGGTTAAGCTCCATGGTCTGAGCAGCAATATCCCTAGGCGAGTAGTGGCGCGGCAAGGAGGGTGCTGGAGAGCATGGGAGCTGAAAGGAGAGGATGGCATGATGCGGCGGCGGTAGGCTAGTAAACCTCATGGGACGTGAGGATAGAATAGTGTATAAGGTTAGGTTGCACTATTATTTTCTTCCCTAGAATTTATTCTGTGTAAGGGAGGCGGACACTTGATCTACTGATGTGTTTCAAGCCAAGGCTGTCGTGTACATGCGTGTATCTTGTCCTTTCTTCTTTTTTTCTTTTTTTGTTCAGTTTTTTTTAACTGAGGTATGTTTTGTGTTGTTGATTGATTGGTGATTATGGGAGAATTGAAGCAGCACATGTTTCTACATACTGGCAATTGTGGGAATTTAGAGAAATTTACCTTTAAAGTAAATCCAACGGTTGTGATATTCTGATTTACATAATTAAAGGCTAGATATTTCTAATTATTATGGAATTCTCTAGCATATTTATCTTTTTTCTAGTTAGCCGGTAACTCACACGACTTGTCATTCAGACAAAGCCTTTGGATTAGGAAACATTTCCAGCCGGCAGTTCGGCCGAGTCTTCGGCCGGACGCGCGCGCTTCGTTCGATTGCGCTGTATCCTGCGGCCCTGCGTGCCCCTCATTTGACTAATTGCCTGAGCCAACCACCAATCGTTTCTTTTTTCTTTCTCCCGTTTCCTTTCTTCTTCCTCTTATTCCTTTTTCTTCTCTCTCCTGCGCAGGAGGATGGCGAGGCGCATGTTGCTTGTGACAGATTTTTGGACTCCCCATGCTGCAGCCGCGTCCTTGGAGCTACGACTCAAACGATTTTCATTGCCTCCTCTTCCCCTCGTTGCTGACGGTGCAGCAGTCGCCATGGATGCGCTCATGGACAACTTTTTTTTATGGAGTGTTGCAACCAGCCCCGGGAGATGCTACATCCGGCGGCGAGGGATGTTACAACCGACAAGTTTTTTTGTTGGAACCAACCAAAGGTTCTGTCGCTGATTTTTTTTTGCTGGAACCAGTGTCTTGTTTTGCTACTACCGGCGGCTTCATTTGCTACTACCGGCGACAACGTTTTTTTGCGACATAATTCATGAATATGATGCAACCTCGACGACGGGTGACAACATTTTTTTGCTGCAAACTATCAAGTTTTTCGCTACCACCGGCTATAGGGTTTGTTACCACCATACACAGCGGCCGGCCGGCGTTTTTCTTTTGAGTCTTGCTACAACCATGTCATTTTTTGCTGCAGTCGGCAACCACAGAAGCTACATCGGGTTTACATTTTTGCTACAATGACGATGGCGGGCTGTAGCGGTAAGGTTTTTTGCTGGAAGCGATACTTTTTTGCTACAACAGGTATCGTTTTTTGTTGGAACCAGCAAGAGCCTCGGGAGGGCACACGGCGAGGTACAGCGCGACCACAACGACAGGTGCTGCGGCCGGCGGCCGGCGCTACCGGAGATGCGGCCATGTCCCCCGGAGCCGGAGATGCAAGCCTGCAACAACGAGTGCATGTTGTTGCATGCATGAAGCCGATGAGAAACGCAGGCGGCGAGGGCGGCGACCGGCGGTGACCGACGGCGAGGGCGGCGACCAGCGGCGAGGGTGGCGACTGGTGGCGGTTCTTCAAGGTTTTGCTACATCGGTCGTCCATGTATAGTGTTGGCGGCGTCGCTGCTTTGTTTTCCCCTCTGCTGTTTGGTTGAATCCGTTTAATTGGAAAGAAAACGATTCCAGATCTGACGGTTAAATGCAATCTAATCAAACGGCCACGCTGTGTCCAGCCGAATTGATTGCGCCGGTGCGCCGGCGCAGATTAGTCGCCTTTGGATTATTACCATGATATATAATAATAAGAGGAAATTTAGGTTCATACTATAGCCAAACAATGTGCCAAATTAAAATTTAAACAGTGGGGATATTTTATCAGTAAATTAAATTTTAGATATAAATTATTAGGCACTAATATTAAGCATTAGAGGAGTATATCAGACATGGTCATGTAATGAGTTTCCGAAGTGTATACATACGTGATGTTCCTTTTTTTTCTATTTTCCAAGTGCATGAACGTACGTGTGTGTATTCTTTTTTTTTTGTAAGATTTGACACATATCTTTCCTTGGACAATACGTTCCTTGTTTTTTTCTAACTTAACAGGTTTCTTGTTTTTTTTTTTAACTTAACATGTTTCTTTTTTCTTTGAAGTCAACTTAACACGTTCCTTGTTTTTGTAAGGAAAAGTCCGACTTCTTCTTGACTATTTTCCCTGGGATACATGCAATCTTTTTAACGTATGTTTTTTTTATGAGGAAACAAAGTGGCCTCCAGATGTATATTTTTTCAACGGGGTGGAGCCAGGGAGCACGTACGTGAGAAAATCTCATCCTTTTCCCGTTTACATGTATGTGTTTTTCTTAGTTGGTGCATGTACGTGAGTTCTCTTTTTAAAGAGGCCCGCCATTTACCAAATATATTTTCTTTAACATATGTTCATTCAGATGTGTCACGTACAGTCGTTGGAGGCCCAGAGCATTATATATGTTACATAAATCTAACGGTCAAGATAATTCTATTTGTTAAGATGTACCAGATCGAGGGCTAGTAATTTCTAATTAACGTGCAATTTTCTAGCGTATTTACCTTGCTCCTGGTTCACCTTATATTACTTTTAATATATAAATAGATGCAACATAAATATGTAGACAAGACCTGTGTTTGTCTTTTATTCCCAAGTTTGAACTAGTATAGTTCGGGTTCTTACATGATAGTGCATGTCACATTATTTTTTCACCGCTACAACGACCAAACCATGGACTGAGAAAACGGTGTTTCATATATCTAGTACTAGAGTTATTTTCTTCTCAGTTAGTACCGAAGATGCCAAATGGCGCGATGGTGCAATATGGAGGGATGTAGACATTGCACATTGCAGGTAGCGTCTGTAGCACTAGGTTCCTTATTTCCTCGAACTGGGGCAGTTGTTGAGGCTGGACAGAGCCCTGGGCCTGTGGGTTTTGCTGAGATGGCCGAAAGGAGCCCTGGCCTAACTGATATTGTTGCAGAGGCTGTTGGAAGGAGAACTGGCTCGATGGTTGTTGTTGTTGTTTTTGTTGTTGATGCAGAATAATAGCATGAACAACATTGTGGATGGCCTGGCACTGCGACTGCTCAGGGATCTGCCATAGGTGCTGACAACACAATTCTTGCAACAGCTGGTAAGTACTTTGTTGCAAAACTTGTGATCTTCCATGCGCTATGTTGTGTTGCTGCAATACAACATCCATGCATGGAATCAGTTGTTGTTGCAAAATTTGTTGAAGGATTTGTTGTTCTTGTTGTTGTTGTTGTTGTTGTTGTTGTTGCTGCTGCTGCTGCTGCTGCTGTGAAATTGGTTGTTGTGGTTGCGAATACTGTGGTTGCGGTTGTGGATATGGTTGTTGTGGTCGAAATGGTTGTGGTTGCGAATATGGTAGTTGCGGCTGCGGAAATGGTTGCAGTTGCAGATATGGTTGTTGTGATGGAAATGGTTGCGGCTGTGGATATGGTTGTTGTGGTGGAAATGGTTGTTGCTGCCCTATAAATTGTTGTTGTTGTACCAATGGAACTTGCTCTTGTGGCTGTTGCTGAGATGGATTTTGTGGCTGCAATTGTGGCACTGGAACTCTAACTGCAGTTGTGGCAGTGGTCGCCACGATAGCAAGGAGGGCAAGGATGAGAAAGGTCTTCATGGTGGATTTGTATTGACCACATCTTGCTTGGCTTAAATGATGCGCTCTACTAATGAGAATGATGGATGAGGAAGGATGATCGTCATGCTATGGGGCTATTTATAGCTGCCATGGAATGATCTCTTTCACAATTGGCATTTGTTTGTGTGGAAAGTGCTTGGATGCTTCTAAAAATCATCATTTGGTATGTTCTGTTTGGTGGCACTACTTACAAGTGTATTCTTGGACTGGTCATTAAAGTTCCTTGTTGTTGCACTGTCATTCCACCACCAAAAAGGTGTGATAACATGCATGACTCATCTTATTCACTTTACAGCTCAAACACTAATCTAGATTGCCTATTTTTCTGAAACTAAGTTTGTAATTTTCTGCAAATTGTTACGCATAAACTAGATAAGCATGGCTGTCACGGTACTTAGTTTGTAATCTTGTGTGGTCTGTTAAGATAGATAAGACTAGTAATGTAACTTGCTTTAGTAGGCCATGACTCGTCAAATTCCTTTTACATGTCATGTGTTGTAGTGTTCTAGAAGTTATTAGCAAGCATAAATTTTGTAATGTTCTACAAGTTGTTACGTGTAAACTAGATAAGCTTGACTTGCACACAAACAAGATTGTAATCACTAGTCATCTACCCGTGCAACTGCACGGCCTAGCTATTATAGGGGTACATATTTATTAATAAATATTTATATGTAAAATTCAAGCGCTTAAATGACAGATATCATACATCTGAACATATGCTAAGCTATTCAAACAATTGAAGTACAATATAAGCACATATATTATAAACTTCATTATATGGAAGAGTGCCTCTACTTCCCATTTATATAAAAAAATATGAACATCTACAATACCAAAACTATATAGTATGGAAATACATTTCATGACGCATCTGTCAATATTGATTTCATATTGTGAATGTTGATATTTTTTATTATAAAGTTAGTTAAAATTTACAAATCCTGACTTTGACCAAACTTTATATGCAGACTAAAAATAAATGGAGGGAGTATCTTGGGGTCTCTGCCACATCACGTTTCTCATACATTCAGTACGCATGTCGCCCCGAACGAGTGGAGACTGCATCGTCACCTTATCCTTCCCCTGCAGGTTCAAGTCTGCTTCTTCCCAATCTTTCATTTCTAATCAAAGGAGAGTGAGGCGAGCTAGCCGGGCTGCTCTTCGTCGGGGACGTCGTCGTCTACTTGCGTGCGCCAATGGCCATCTCTCGCCGGGATTCACCCTGTGCCCATGTACAACCGCCTTCCAGAAGCCATCCGAGCGGCGGCCCCGCAACGCTCGCGCGGAGGTCCCAACTTAGGAGGTGGACGAGGCTGTGCAGCTCGCGGCTAAGCTGCTCTTCGCCGGGGTCGTCGTTATCTCCATGCGCCACACAGGAAGGAAGTTGGTCACCGAGTTCCCGGGGATTCACCGCGCACCCAGGTACTCCGCCGCCTCCCCAGTAGCTGTCTGAGAGGCGGCCCGCGATGCGCGAAAGTGTGTCCCGATTTTCGGACCCCCCAGCACTGATGTAGTCTCCCTTACCCATGTTGCAGCGACTGTGTTGTCGCATCGGTGACTGATACCGACATGCAGACCGGCGATGAGACTGAGACCGGCGCCGAGACTAGCGGAGTTGGTCTAGAACCGAAAGCAAAGAGGCCACGGCGCCCAAACCAGCTCATGAGTACTAGACTGGTGGTCACGGAGATGGCCGACGGTATTTTTGAGACAATAGCGCCCCAGGAAGCGCGATCGTGCTACGGCAATCAAATAGGTTGCATTGTACGGACAACTGCCACGATCAACGATGGGAAACTATAGAAAATAGATAATATGAGGCCCTTCCTCCTAAAGAAGCTGCACCAGATATTCTTGTTCCCGGACCGTAATGAAAAGGATAATAAAGATCCAGATAAGGACCTGGCAATGAAGAAGATAAACAAACACGCCATGACTAAGTTTAGCGACGCGTTGGCCGCCTGGAAAACAAGGTTGAAACATCAGATCGTCGACAAAAAGCAACCCTTGCTACCTCTTGAGCACTGCGTTGGTTTTCCCGAAGAGTGAGGGATGATGCAGCAAAGTAGCGTAAGTATTTCCCTCAGGTTTTGAGAACCAAGGTATCAATCCAGTAGGAGGCTATGCGCCAGTCCCTCATACCTGCACAAAACAAATAAATCCTCGCAACCAACGTGAATAGGAGTTGTCAATCCCTACACGGCCACTTACGAGAGTGAGATTTGATAGATATGATAAAGATATTTTTTTTAGTATTTTTGTGATAAAGATGCAAAGTAAAATAAAGGCAAAGTAAAAAACCGTAGGAAATAACTAAGTAGTAGGAGATTAATATGATAAAGATTGACCCGGGGGCCATAAGTTTCACTAGTGGCTTCTCTCGAGAGCTTAAGTATTCTATGGTGGGTGAACAAATTACTATTGAGCAATTGACAGAATTGAGCATAGTTATGAGATTATCTAGGTAAGATCATGTATATAGGCATCACGTCCGAGACAAGTAGACCGACTCCTGCCTGCATCTACTACTATTACTCCACTCATCGACCGCTATCCAGCATGCATCTAGAGTATTAAGTTAAATACAGATTAACGCCTTAAGTAAGATGACATGATGTAGAGGGATAGACTCATAAAATATGATGAAAACCTCATCTTGTTGTCCTCGATGGCAATAATACAATACGTGCCTTGCTGCCCCTACTGTTACTGGGAAAGGACACCGCAAGATTGAACCAAAGCTAAGCACTTCTCCCATTGCAAGAAAGATCAATCTAGTAGGCCAAACCAAACTGATAATTCGAAGAGACTTGCCAAGATAACCAATCATACATAAAAGAATTCAGAGAAGATTCAAATATTATTCATAGATAGACTCGATCATAAACCCACAATTCATCGGTCTCAACAAACACACCGCAAAAAGAAGATTACATCGAATAGTTTTCCACAAGAGAGGGGGAGAACATTGTATTGAGATCCAAAAAGAGAGAAGAAGCCATCTAGGTAATAACTATGGACCCGTAGGTCTGAGGTCAACTACTCACACTTCATCGGAGAGGCTATGGTGTTGATGTAGAAGCCCTCCATGATCGATGCCTCCTCCGGCGGAGCTCCGGAACAGGCGCCAAGATGGGATCTCTGAAAGAAATATGCCCTAGAGGCAATAATAAAGTTATTATTTATTTCCTTATAATCATGATAAATGTTTATTATTCATGCTAGAATTGTATTAACCGGAAACATAATACATGTGTGAATACATAGACAAACAAAGTGTCACTAGTATGCCTCTACTTGACTAGCTCGTTAATCAAAGATGGTTATGTTTCCTAACCATGAACAAAGAGTTGTTATTTGATTAACGGAATCACATCATTAAGAGAATGATCTGATTGACATGACCCATTCCATTAGCTTAGCACCCGATCGTTTAATATGTTGCTATTGCTTTCTTCATGACTTATACATGTTCCTATAAGTATGAGATTATGCAACTCCCGTTTACCGGAGGAACACTTTGGGTACTACCAAACGTCACAACATAACTGGGTGATTATAAAGGAGTACTACAGGTGTCTCCAAAGGTACATGTTGGGTTGGCGTATTTCGAGATTAGGTTTTGTCACTCCGATTGTCGGAGAGGTATCTCTGGGCCCTCTCGGTAATGCACATCACTTAAGCCTTGCAAGCATTGCAACTAAATAAGTTAGTTGCGGGATGATGTATTACAGAATGAGTAAAGAGACTTGCCGGTAGCGAGATTTAACTAGGTATTGGAATACCGACGATCGAATCTCGGGCAAGTAACATACCGATGACAAAGGGAACAACGTATGTTGTTATGCGGTCTGACCGATAAAGATCTTCGTAGAATATGTAGGAGCCAATATGGGCATCCAGGTCCCGCTATTGGTTATTGACCGGAGACGTGTCTCGGTCATGTCTACATTGTTCTCGAACCCGTAGGGTCCGCACGCTTAAGGTTACGATGACAGTTATATTATGAGTTTATGCATTTTGATGTACGGAAGGTTGTTCGGAGTCCCGGATGTGATCACGGACGTGACGAGGAGTCTCGAAATGGTCGAGACATAAAGATTGATATATTGGAAGCCTATGTTTGGACATCGGAAGTGTTCCGGGTGAAATCGGGATTTTATCGGAGTACCGGGAGGTTACCGGAACCCCCCGGGAGCCATATGGGCCTTCATGGGCCTTAGTGGAAAGGAGAAAGGGGCAGCCCAAGGTGGCCGCGTGCCTCCCCCTCCCCTAGTCCTATTAGGACTAGGAGAGGTGCCGGGCCCCCCCTCTCTCTTTCCACCTCGGGGAATCCTAGTCCAACTAGGATTGGGGGGGGGAGTCCTACTCCCGATAGGAGTAGGACTCCTCCTGCGCCCTCCTCTTGGCCGGACGGCCCCCTCCCCCTTGGCTCCTTTATATACTGAGGCAGAGGCACCCCAGAAACACACAAGTTGATCCACGTGATCTATTCCTTAGCCGTGTGCGGTGCCCCCAGCCACCATAGTCCTCGATAATACTGTAGCGGAGTTTAGGCGAAGCCCTGCTGCTGTGGTACATCAAGATCGTCACCATGCCGTCGTGCTGACGGAACTCTTCCCCGACACTTTGCTGGATCGGAGTTCGGGGATCATCATCGAGCTGAACGTGTGCTCGAACTCGGAGGTGCTGTAGTTTCGGTGCTTGATCGGTCGGATCGGGAAGACGTACGACTACTTCCTCTATGTTGCGTCAACGCTCCCGCAGTCGGTCTGCGTGGGTACGTAGACAACACTCTCTCCCCTCGTTGCTATGCATCACATGATCTTGCGTGTGCGTAGGAAAATTTTTGAAATTACTACGAAACCCAACAATCTCGTGGATACAGAAAGTTGCGGCGGTGGAATTAGGGTTTTGGCTCCGTATACGATCGTTTGGGGGTACGTAGGTATATATAGGAGGAAGGAGTACGTCGG